GGTTGGTTGGGTGTGGGGGGGGGGGGGGGAGCAGGGGAAATGGGTGGATTTCAGAGCCACATTCTTGGGGTTTCTGTACCACTTGCTATTCCTCACCACTTCAGACCCTGCTGGAAGAAAACACATGTGGGACGTGCATTAGGGTACAACCTGAATGGCTTCATGCTCTAATAGGCTGAAGATAAGAGCAGAAGCATCTGCTTAAAGGAAGAATGAGGCTCACAAATGGCTGCTCTTTCCCATAGCACTAGTGGGTCTAGGGGAAAATGATGCTGAGCCCTCCACCTGACTGGGCTGACATGCTCCAGAGCCTAAGTTCACTGGTGACACTCCTCTCCAGTGCTCACCCTTGATCTCTGGCAGTCCAGAGAGCAGCATCTGGGTACAAGGGTGAACAGCCTTGCAGCAGATTTCTGGGGCTTGTCAGGGGCGTGTGGGGAGCACTGCCTTACACTAGGCCAGGTGCTTCTGTGGGACACACAAGTGCTGCTGCTACTGCTTGGTAGGAAAAGTCAGCACGTTTCATCCCCCATCCCTCCAAGGACTGTTCTGGGAGGGAGGATTGAGAGCTGTGGCTCTCTCTTCTGAAAGGAGCAGGAATGAGTCTGTGGAGCTTTCCTCTGATGAGGCCCAGGTGACCTCCACATCACAGAAATGTGCACTGGGAGAAAGGCTTTGTCATGAACCTGCACATGGATTCTGTGCTGAGTCTCAGGCTTTAACACACAGGGTGCCAGAGCTGAAACAGAAAGGGGGAGATTCTGGTGCAAACCACGGGGTATTCATTTCCTCCCACAACAGGAAAGCTTGTGAATCCCATGCACACCAGGGAGCCATTTAAGGCAGCATGACACCATGATTAAGCACTTCCTGGGTTCCAGGTCAACCTAACCAAGAGAAACTAAGGACAACCCCAGCCTCTCTTTTGTCCAACATGATGGTTACAGAGCTTTGGCCAGCCATGCTGATTTCCATGGGGGACTACATCCCACCATGCCTGGGGAGAGGGTGATAAAGAGGTATGGCTACCTTGGGGTGGGAGATCAATTCTTCCTTTGAGTAAAGATGAAAATTTAAAATCATGGTACCCCAAGGAAACCAGATCTGTGCCTAAAAATCAAGACAACTGACTCAATCGTCCCTTAACAGCCAAAATAAGGGGGGGAAGAAGGGGACAGCTGCTTGTCTCTACAGCTTTGAAATTCAGGGAGTGGGAACAATACCTGCCTCGACACATTACAGCATAAGCTCTTAAAAGGTAGCACCTTGGAATGGCAACACAGGGCAGGTTTGCAGTTTCCAGGCTTAAAAAATATAGGGGCAAAAAAAGAAAATTATTTCTTTGGTGGGTATATATAGCACATATCCCCATCAGTAGCAGTGCTCACCTTTAAATAAATGGAAATGTAGCTGATGCTTCTGTCTGTCACTCTGGGCATGGGGCTTTCTGACAGGGGAGTCAGGTGTAAGGGACAGCCACAACTCACCTGGCAGCATGTACTCCAACCTTGAGATATCCTCACTCTCCTCATCATCATAGACCCAGAGCTCCACCTGTCCTCGCTGGATGCGGTAGATTAAGTCAGGTGTGGGACCTCGATATCCTGTTTGAAGCAGTGGTTAAAGTGTTTGTGATTGCCTACTGGATGGAAAACCTGCTGTTGTGGCTCAGTGGCAGAATCCTAGTCTGCCACATGGAAAACCCAGGTTTGATTCCTGGATGCATAGAACTACAGCCAAAGCACTCAACTTCTGAACTTAGTCTGAGCTTTGGATTCTGTCTCAATGGTATAAAGTGGGTATGAAAGATCTGGGCAGCCTCCACCCACTCCTTTATACTCCCGCCTAGGCATATGCATTGAATGTCTGGGTGATGTCTCATGCATACACCATGATCCAGAAGGACAAAGGTGGATGGGCATTTAAGATGAAAAGAGAAGGCACTGCTGGGAGAAGCCTTCAATAGATGATGGTCCTTGTCACCCAGGTAGTGGAAGGATGGTCAAAGGAAACAAAGCCCTGACCACTCTCAGGTATAAAAAAAGGGCAGGAAACTGACAGAGTCACCAGGGACAAGGTAGAGATGCAGTGATCTGTGATGTATTAGAAAGCAGAAAGATAACATTTTTACTATTTTCAAGGTACCAAAAGTAAGAGTAATTGGACAAACTTATGGAGGTCTAACATTTATCTTATTAGTGTATTTCCAGGGAAAGGAGCAGAAATGAGTTTATTCTTGGTGAAGGTTTCAAGCAAGGAGTTGTGGCAATGAAACAAATCAATGACAGATGGCTGACAATGAGGTTTTTTTTCTGGGAGAGAGGGTGATTCATAATCCGGGCAGTGGAGAGGATGATTTTATAACTGTGGTTGCATCTAAAACAATCATCCCATCCAATGATATGATCAGCCCAAGAGGGGAGCTGAGTACACAGGCTGGCAAATACTGCAGGCTTTGAAACAACGTTCCTGGGAGTCATGGATATGGACAAAAGAAGGCAGGAGATGCATTTTAAAGCATGTGAAAGCCTAGTGTAGATATAGTCTATACATTCTTTGTTGGGTTAGAAAAAGCATCTGAGCCCTTCTCTAAGGAAATCCTTTGGGGGAAAT